CCTCGATCAGTTCGGCAAGACCAAGGTGCACACTCAGATGTGCCCCTTCTTCGGCCACCCCAACCCTCCGGCTCCCTGTCCGTGCCCTCTTCGCCAAGCCTGGGGCAGCCTCGACGCCCTCATCGGCCGCCTTCGTGCCGCCTACGAAGAGAACGGGGGCAAACCCGAGTCCAACCCCTTCGGCGCTCGCGCCGTCCGCCTCTACCTCCGTGAAGTCCGCGAGATCCAGTCGAAGGCCCGCGGCGTCAGCTACGAGAAGAAGAAGCGCAAGAAGCCACAGCAGGATCAGCAGCACCCTCCACCGCCACCCGCCGCAGCCTAAGCTCCGCTACCGACTCCATCCCACTGGCATCAACGAGGAGGCTTAGCAGATATGCCTTGAAGCCTTCCTCTCTTCTCTTCAACTCTCTCTATATGACTATTAGCTACCGATGTGTGAGCCTTTTGTTTTCTCTTCATCGAGCTTATTAGTATCATTCTGTTTATGTCACTCCCTTTTTCTTTTCCCTGTTTTCGATTGAACCTTGGAACAAATCGCTACTCTTTATATTACTACTTCATGCGATATTGCTTTGCCTTCACTGCTCTCGCTCTCTCAGTTTTGTGATTGCAAGTGGGAGGAGCTTCGGAGGAAGGCAATGGGAAAGTAGCAGTGTTTCATATGCTTAATTTCTACCTCCTCCCAGTGTGATTATTAGTCTGGCCAGTGACACCATGGCAAGACAGTGACTACTGTACTTGGACTCCGCACCTCATTGCTCCGGTACTGTACTCGAGATCTCTGATCTCTTGGCCTGCGCCAAGGGTTATCTATTAACAGTAAGGAACAAGGAAAAGGACGTGAGGTGCTGCTGCTGCTGCCCCCCCCCTCCCCTCTGTGGGTTGGAGCCGAGAGCTTTGAGGTGAAACTTAGATTCTGGCTGCAGAAAAAGTTAATGATTTACTTGATGTGTCATTTCCACACACACACACACACTCTCTCTCTCTCTCTCTCTCTCTGTTTTCTTTTTCTTTTTTGTTGATATCAAAAATGGAGTCGATTGTGACCTTTTCAGATCATCATGTTACAGTACACAAGGATTGTTTGTCTTCTGCATGATCAGTTATCTTGGCCTCCTCCTCGATTTGTTGCTTTGCTATATCACCGGTGGCCTTTTCCTTTGTTTTTGGGGTGGAATAGATGACTTACCCCAAAGAATAATAATGTGCTTTTTCGTGAGATTTAATTGATATACTCACAAGCTAATCGATTTCCATGGCAAACTCTTAGGAGAATACAAGACTGACAGGTGCTTGCACAATGGCATCCTTACGTGAAATAGTAACAAGGAGGCCAGACAAAAGTTACACTATTCATTCAAGCAAACTATTTCATGCTGATGACACAATCTAAGCGTGTGGAGACTGGCATTTTGGGAACTCACCTGTGTTTTGTTTATGGTAGGATGAATGATATGAGTCTTTCCAATTACTATGGTTGTAGTTAGTTAAACAATGGCTTGCTTGCTTGCTTGCTTTAGTGATCTTAGACACAGCTTTCTTGTCTTCCCTACCGGTGGTAGTTTCCCAAACTTGCAATGCTTCTTCCTTTTTGAGCCTCATTTGTTCTCATGTTTATTTGGAGGTTGCTCATGGCATGATGAAGTACTATTTATTATAACTCTTATGCTACTACAAGTGACTCTAATATAGGATTATGACAAGATTCAACTTGGAACATCCATTGTGAGATAGAGGCCATGTGTGCTAACATTATCACCCTGTGCTCATTGATCATGGAAAGATTGAAAATGTTGATAGCATAGATTGCTTGCTAATTTCTTATGTGGTTAATAAGGGTTCTGTCATGCATAGCCAAGAAAATAATGCTATGTTGTTGTCCACTGTGCAGCATTTTCATTAAAGAATAGGATGATAACTAAAGGACAATTTGTTCATGATGAACCACTGAATTTGAGGTCCTACATGTCTTGCATGATGGTCAAACCCTACATCGTAAACGATATCCGAACACGATGAAGGTTATCGTAATCTAAATCATCCATTTGCTTCTGTTTCTTTTCTTAATTGATTTTATCATCATTGTTGCTGCCACCATTGTCATCACCAATTTAAGTTTTGTTTCGCTGTTATCTTTGCAATCGCTTCGGTAAAATGGAGACCGAAATCTAACTACAAGTGATGGTAACTTTGTGCTTTGTTTCATTCGATGATATATGTTCTCTGCAAAAATTCATGCATGTATTCACCCTATATTGAACCATGCTGTGTATATGCATCATTAAAATGTAGGGATTCTACATGTGAAATTGCTCATGATTTTGGTCTCAGAATGCTGTCAGCTGTTTATCCAAGTATTAGTTAGATGCAAAACATTTCTGTGAAAGTAGTGGTGTGACAATATATTTGCTGAAATGATGTTTTGAAGGTCAAAATTAGATCCTGATATAATAATGCAGCTATCTTATATATAGATATTGATTGAAGTCTCCAAAGAAGTTGTCATATTCAAGTGGAACAACTGATAGTCTCATGAGTTTTAATTTAATGTATAATGAATTGGTGGTGATTTCTTACTTGATATGTTTTGGTCTACATAATTAAGACACATCATGTCTGATCCAAGTTGATTCAATTGCAAGTTACATTTTGAATAGCTAAATGTAATTTATATGCCCACTGGTTCTCTTAGGTTTCTTTCTTCCCTGATTTAGAAACTAGACAAAACTTTCTAATACAAATGGACAGGAAAATAGCTACAAGAAGTAGCACTGGGAAGATCTACAATGTCAAATCCATCAAGAAAGTTCAAAGTAAATTTAAATAACAGTTTCTAGATCTCCACATCCAGATCTTAACTTAGTACCTTAACAAGAAGCACAATCTTGATGAGCACTGAGGATTAGCTCTCATGCAAAGGGAAGTAGCTACAACTAATAAGTTTAGGGCTTCATCAGCATCCACTTTATGAAAATTATAAATACAAAACATTTTTGGATTTTTTTTTTCTTTTACATTTTTTGGTTTTGAAAACAGTGCCTGTAATTTTGTAACCTATGATTCTTAAATGAGTGAATGAATCTTGAATGGTGTCAGTGGACAAATATAATGTTGTTGTATAGGACTGATTCTGAGATGTGACAGATACTGTAACAAGTATTTCTGGTGATTATGCTAAGAATTCTGTATTTGCTGATATTATGGATCAATACACTGAGCAAGAAGAGCTCAGGAACTATCAATCCTCCAAGGCATGACATCACAACAAGATTTATTTTCTCTCTCTCTCTCTCTCTCTCTCTCACACACACACACACACATTGCCTTTGATCAATGGTAATACTTAACTCATTCTTTTAGTGTTTAACTCGCTTTGTTTTCATTAATTAGTCATCATTATGAATTATACATGATTGATGTCTATGATTAACATCTTGTCAATGAAGGATTCATATGCCCTGCCAATTTCATGTATAACCTGTTTTGCATGTATTAGGTTCTTGTAACCTTAGTATTCTAGTCACTGTTTTATTAGAAATATTTTGGATAAGTTTTATTAGAAATATTTATTATAGAAAAGTTTGGTTCCTTTTTTTCTTAATGGTTCATAAGTTTATCCCAACACAAAGCACTGAGCTTCATCAAGTTTCACTTTTTTTGAAACTGAAGTGTCACCACAGCACAGATGAAACCTTGGGAGATCTCAAAATTTGTACAAGATACATCACTCCCAAACATAGGAAAGAAACCACACACATGCATGTAAGGTGCAAGTTTTATTTGATGAGATGATTTATATATATATATCAAATGTGTTAATTGATGTGATCAAGCCATTTCAATTACCTATATGTTGTGGAGAATTTGCCTATGATTCTGAGGAGACTGAGTAATATTTGCCTGATCCAAGTGGTACTCCACGGATCAAACACATCCTATAAATTCTCTATGCTTGAGAGATGAGGCTTGAAGTCTTCAACCTCTGCCAAGATGACTGTAACAGCTGCAAGTTTTCCTCTTCGTTTCTTTTATGTTCTTTTCCCTCTTGTTGTTGTTGTTGTTGTGGAAACATGAAGGTGAGGACAGAAGTTGGTAGAGATTGTGGCGTTGGGGTGCGTAAGCTATCGATATCTATCAAGCTTAGACATCGGCATGCCCCTAACTCTTAGAGCAGGCTTATAATAGTACGTGAGGAGCATGCTGTGCGTTAGGGTTCGCAGTGCAGATATCTACTGTGCTGCGTGTCACGTACGACCTCCTGTGCATGCGCATGAGTATGTATAGCGTTCGGTACACGTTACTGTAACGTGTACGTACATGCTGTTTTCTACCAGTAGTATCGTACTGGTAGGCCTCCTTACGACGATTCGACGATGCTTGATGTCCTGACTTGAGTCACGACCCAAGGCTGCACACAACCTGGGACACGACGATCTCGGTGCTCTTTCTCTCTCTCTCTCTCTCTCTCTCTCCTGCTCTTTTCCTGCACCAGCACAGTACGTGTCACAGAACTCATGCGTGTGCGCATGTGTCAGCGCTGCGCACCAATCTATTTGTGGATCCCCTGCGGTGCTGTCATGCCACTGTAAGAAGCAACAATGCAGCACGGTGGCCGTGGGATCCTCGTATCTACCAAGGAGAGACGACAGGGTCAGATCCTGCAGCGAACGAAGCGTTCACCGGACGACCTTCTTCCCGGTTTTCCTCAACGCTGCGAGTGGACTTTGGCCAGCATCCTCGTTGCAAACTCATGACATGTGATACTTACTGCAGGTGTGATCTCTCTTCACACCAAAACCAGACGAGTTTACTGCGGCAGTTGACGAAGCATGCAGTGGCCAAAAAGAATCTAACCCTATAGTGATGAGTGAGTGCTACAGCGATCGGATCCATGTGACGACCTAAAGGAGAGGGCATGATTCCTAGCCTTTTCTTGAAGAGCAAGCAAGCGGGGAGGGATGGTCAGCAGCGATGGCTCTCACAAGCTTTTCTCGGGGTGGAGGAATCCATTGGTAACCGCGGGAGTAGTGACCTCCATCCCGCTTTGACCTCTCCGTACGGTCAGCCTTCGACCCCTTTTCCCTGTACATGTCTGCTCTCTCGTGTCCGATATGTAGAATAATAGTGCAGTGCTGATGGCGTGGTACATTAACTACGCCTTCCTTCTTCATCCTCCCTCCGCTTGAACGAGCGCAAGGCTGCAGGAGAGGACAGGGAATCAGAGAGAGACAGAGAGAGAGAAAGAGAGATGTTGGGGTCACGCAGGACAACCGTGGTTTGCCGTCATTGATTCCATAGACAATGCAGACAGCTATGACTGGGGTACTTGTTGCTGGTGAGAGGTGCACAGGTAGGGTCAGAGGTGGTAGGTATCACAAGGACAACAGATGGTGACCCAGAATAAGAAGGTCAAGTAAGCAACAAAAAAGTAACCGAGCGACCTGCAAATCTTAGATGTAATCCCAAAAATTTCCAGAAATTTTTTTGTTAAGGATTAAAATAAGAGAGAAAAAGAAATAAATTCTCCTAACATATATTGCATTGATAGGGACAATGATGTTTCAGGTGGGGAGGTCAACAT